TCTTGTTCTCTTCCTGTGGCTATGTGTATGAAATCATAGCGCACAAACAAGTGATAACGTTAGCTCTGTTACTGCCCATATCTCCACACAGCTGTGCCCTTGGAAGATAGTAAAAGACAGAATGAACTGAAAAACTGTGGTCACTCTGAGGCTCTTTGTTTTAACCGTGTGACCGGGTTACTCTGAAGCAACGAGAAACAATCCAGGTCTATACAGGTCTATCTGTTCCTGAAGTTTTATCTCCATCCCATGTCCTTGACATACACAGACCAGCTGCAGGGAGCTAGAGGGGACCCTCCTCATGAAAAGCACAGCATTGGTAGTTAAGAAATGTCTCTACTATTGTTAAGCATATTAATTGTTAACTATTAATATTAAACAATTCTGGCAAATACGAGTATTTCCCAACAACCTCTAACCCATATCTAACCTCTGACTCCTACCCCCAACTCCACCTCTGGCAAGTCTCCATCTATGTTACCATGCAAACACCTAACCATAACCCCCATCTTCCTCTATACCCGTAACCCCTGTATCTATGAAACTGGTAGTAACCATAGAAACGTGTCCACCATCTCGCTCAGGTGTGGACTCCATGTCTAACTATGAGCAGGTGATCAGACAGGTGCATTACCATAACTGGCACCCTGCCCAGACCCCAGACAGGAAGTTCCGTCTCACCTGCTCCGAGCTCAACGGACGCTACACCAGCAACGAGTTCACCCTGGAGGTCAGTGGACTAGAGAGCGGAACGATAAAGATACAGGGATTCCAATGTTCCTGTACTCCTGTGCTTTTAGAGATTATATTTGTTTAAACAATTCCTGACTTAAGGCCCTTTTCCTTCTATTTTCTTGCTCTACCCAGAAAAGCTCTGACAGTTCTGTGTCTAATTGTCCTTATTTGGAGATTACTCTTATATTTTCTGAGACATTTATCTTATTATACCTGTAACCATGCTCCCTATTCTTGCCCTGCCCAGATCAGTGTACTCCACAAATCAGAGGCTGGGGAGCATGTAAATCACATGGTAGCCCCGCCCCAGTACATGCAAGTGGTTCATCATCCAGCCATGGTCCACAGCCTATACCCCACACGCAGTTCAGGTAAGACTATAGAATCATCAGTCTATACCCCACACACAGCTCACTATAGAATCATCAGTCTATACCCCACACACAGCTCACTATAGAATCATCAGTCTATACCCCACACACAGCTCACTATAGAATCATCAGTCTATACCCCACACACAGCTCACTATAGAATCATCAGTCTATACCCCACACACAGCTCACTATATAATCATCAGTCTATACCCCACACACAGCTCACTATAGAATCATCAGTCTATACCCCACACACAGCTCACTATAGAATCATCAGTCTATACCCCACACACAGCTCACTATAGAATCATCAGTCTATACCCCACACACAGCTCACTATAGAATCATCAGTCTATACCCCACACACAGCTCACTATAGAATCATCAGTCTATACCCCACACACAGCTCACTATAGAATCATCAGTCTATACCCCACACACAGCTCACTATAGAATCATCAGTCTATACCCCACACACAGCTCACTATAGAATCATCAGTCTATACCCCACACACAGCTCACTATAGAATCATCAGTCTATACCCCCCACACAGCTCACTATAGAATCATCAGTCTATACCCCACACGCAGCTCACTATAGAATCATCAGTCTATACCCCACACACAGTTCAGGTAAGACTATAGAATCATCAGTCTATACCCCACACACAGCTCACTATAGAATCATCAGTCTATACCCCACACACAGTTCAGGTAAGACTATAGAATCATCAGTCTATACCCCACACACAGTTCAGGTAACACTATAGAATCATCAGTCTATACCCCCCACACAGCTCACTATAGAATCATCAGTCTATACCCCACACACAGCTCACTATAGAATCATCAGTCTATACCCCACACACAGTTCAGGTAAGACTATAGAATCATCAGTCTATACCCCCCACACAGCTCACTATAGAATCATCAGTCTATACCCCACACACAGTTCATGTAAGACTATAGAATCATCAGTCTATACCCCACACACAGCTCACTATAGAATCATCAGTCTATACCCCACACACAGTTCAGGTAACACTATAGAATCATCAGTCTATACCCCCCACACAGCTCACTATAGAATCATCAGTCTATACCCCACACACAGCTCACTATAGAATCATCAGTCTATACCCCACACACAGCTCACTATAGAATCATCAGTCTATACTCCACACACAGCTCACTATAGAATCATCAGTCTATACCCCACACACAGCTCACTATAGAATCATCAGTCTATACCCCACACACAGCTCACTATAGAATCATCAGTCTATACCCCCCACACAGCTCACTATAGAATCATCAGTCTATACCCCACACACAGCTCACTATAGAATCATCAGTCTATACCCCACATACAGCTCACTATAGAATCATCAGTCTATACCCCACACACAGTTCATGTAAGACTATAGAATCATCAGTCTATACCCCACACACAGCTCACTATAGAATCATCAGTCTATACCCCACACGCAGTTCAGGTAAGACTATAGAATCATCAGTCTATACCCCCCACACAGCTCACTATAGAATCATCAGTCTATACCCCACACACAGCTCACTATAGAATCATCAGTCTATACCCCACACACAGCTCACTATAGAATCATCAGTCTATACCCCACACACAGCTCACTATAGAATCATCAGTCTATACCCCCCACACAGCTCACTATAGAATCATCAGTCTATACCCCACACACAGCTCAGGTAGGACTTACCATCAATCCTGATAATTATGTTCCAGACCAACACTAACACACCTAATTCAACTAATCAAAGGTCTCGATGAGCAGTTGAAATGGTTGTGTTCATGGATCTTCAGGACTAGGATTGAATAACACAGTGAGTCGGCTCTATTGCTAGCACAGAGACAGTGATACATCTTAGTTAAAGACAGAGAGAGAGGCTGGTGAAAAGGGCCCTACAGATTTCAATCTAGCACATCGTCTCCCGATTTCTGCTCTCTGTTAATTATTCATTCAACCCTACTGGTCGGCTTAGTGTCCTGGGGAGCTCTGTGCCCTACCACTGCTTTTAAAGGTTGGGAGAGAGCAGGTTCATTGTTCTGTTAGGAGACTGTACAGACCCTTTAGCAACATTCTGTGGGTACCTTTTACATGAGAGAGATCAAAGGCTATGGATTGGTCTCTCTCTCGCTTTCTCTCTCTCTTACTTACTCACTCACAGAGTATGGGGCTATGAATCATCATCACAAGTTGAATGTTTATGTCTTAGAGGAGGCAGGGTGTTGATGTTACTTTGAGAGTATAGTACAGATCAGCACTCAACAGTTAAACATTACAGATCAAGGAGTCAGTCAGTCTGTCTGTCTGTGTGTGTGTGTGTGTGTGGTAATGGACCCATTATGTGTGTGTGCATACATCTGAGATGTTTTGGTTGTGTGCATAATCAAATATTTGGTATGCGTGTAGGTGCACCATGTTACTTAACATATATTAACATGACCTTTCCTCTCCCTGAAGGAGTCCCCAGTGCTGCCACAGTGGTGATAGTGATCTGTATCGCCGCCCTGGTGGTGGTGGTTGTGCTAGGCATCTACCATATTCACCTGACACACCAACAGGAGGGCAGGAGCTCAGACACAACCAAGGAGGGAGAGCTGGACTGGGACGACTCAGCGCTCAATATCACAGTCAACCCTATGGAGGTAAGGGGAAAGGGGCTGAAAACAAAACAGTGGGGGAGAGGCGAGGGAGGAATAAAGGAAGGAAGGTGAGTGTTGTAGGGACCAGATGTTGGAACAGCTTTAAGGGCAGTAAGTAGCAGGAGGCAGCAGGATCAGGGGCAAAATACTGTCCAGTTTATTAACAGTGAAAGGTGGTTCCAGGTGAATGACGAAATCCTATGAATAGTTATATAATCTACAAAGGTATTTACAGAATACAGGTTTGAATAGAAATCAAAACCCTAAGCCTCAATCAGGCCTACCCTGCCAAACCAACTCTAGCAGGTTGGGGTATACCAGGCTATGGACAGCCTCCCACACAGCTCACATACCAGAGCTAGAGCATAACTCAAGCTCATAGGTGAAACAGGTACCTTTATACGTATGGCCCCTCCTTATGGACCATACCATTAACCATGGAGCTCTTTACCCATTAAATCATGTAACGGGCATCTTCATTATACCCACATTTACATATTCCATCTAAATAAACATCTTAAACATTCCTGGCTTATCCACAAAGAATACACATTTCATAACAATAGTTCTGCAACCCGCGTATGCTCCCATTATGCACGGACATGACAGACAAGACATGGAGCTCCGAGACGCGCCAACTTCAAACACAGGACACATTACAATATGGAAATAGACTAACTTATTTATCATCAGTGTAGCAAGTGTTCATGTGCACCTGAACATTGCATCCACTTGGTGGATTGCAAAAGGGTAGATTACTGCATTTAAATATGAAAATGAAATGCGCCACAATGCAACTTCACCAAACATTTGTTCGACACACAATTAGCCTTGCGGATTAGTGGATAAGAGTGTCTGCTAAATGACTTAAATGTAAATGTAAATAGCCATGATACTGGCAAAAGAGGAAAAGAACAACAGTATATACCTTTAGGATAAATGAATTACTAGATATATGGGGAAACATGAATGTGCTAAACAATTTAAGGGGAATTCAATAATTAGTGGCGAGAGCTACTGAATCAGCTTGGTCACAGTGAGAAAAGAAAGAATGGACTGAAATAGAGAGCAACTGAAGATAGAGGACAGGGGGAGGAATGGTAGGGAAGAGGAGAGAAAGGGAGAAATGGGAGATAGTGAAACAGAGTAGGATACACAAGGGCCACAGTAATCAGCTCCAGAACCTGTAACACACCTCTCTGTGCCCCATGGAGAGCTTCCAGGAGCCCCAGGGAGCTGAGGAAGAGGCCAGCGAGGAGGATGAGGAGGAAGATGAAGAGGATGACAGCACCAGCACAGAGTCAGACGACAGCGAGGAGGAGGAGGAGGAGGTCCCAGGAGCTCCCAGGGTACAACAGGGCAGCAAGAGGGGCTAACTGGACTGGGACAACTCTACATTAACCTACTGAAAAAAATCATAAATACACACTGAACATACACACTGACGCATACACACACACACACACACACACACACACACACACTGATATACATAAACACAAGCTGAGGCATCAACATAAACACCACCATAAAATACATTGATCAAGTCATGAGAGACTACCTGAGATTTCTCTGAGTTGAGGTAACATCTCTCCCTACTGGTGAAAAGGGAAATGGTGTTGAGAATAGAATGAGCACTAAAGTGATAACACACACAAGTCACACACACACACACACACATACACACAACACCAGCCAGTACTCCATTTAAAAAGACTCCTTTCCTTTATGTCAAACGATCTGGTGTTAACTAAAGGCTACCCTGTGGTACTCCAATGCTGTAATACTATCCTGTGGTCCTGAGTACCCCAGACCTCAAGCCCTAGTCCACAAGCTGAAAGCTTACCTACTGTTTTTTACTGAGACTGTGAAAAAAAGACAACAAAATGTGAAAATACTGTATTCAATTGAAATTGCTTGTCAAACATCTGTTTTCCACCAATTTTTTCAGGGTCTAAAATCTTGTCTGAGAAACTGTGGTCCTATAGGTCGCCATGATCCTTTGTAATGGTTTCTTTCCCATAGGCCCATAGTGGTACAGTGCACTGTATTAGAGTTACAGTGTGGTACAGTGGGATAGATCATGGAAAACTCAACCCAAAAACTATCTTTTGGTATTTGTTTCATTAGTCCATTGTTGATATAGTCCCAAAATGCATCATAAGGGGCAGATTTCTGTATTTTGAAAGTTACATATCTTGAGAACTTGATTGCTGACATGCAAAACATTTTGGGACTATATCAACAACCGACTAATGAAACAAATACCAAAATATCATTTTTGGGTGGAGTTTTCCTTTAAGATGGTACAGTCCAGTATCCTTACCTTGGTACGCTATTTTGCAAAAGTATGTGGACACCCCTTCAAATTACTGGATTCGGCTATTTTAGCCACACCTGTTGCTGACAGGTGTATAAAATCGAGCACACAGCCATGCAATCTCCATAGACAAACAGTGTCAGTAGAATGGCCCTACTTAAGAGCTCAGTGACTTTCAACGTGGCACCGTCATAGGATGCCACCTTTCCAACAAGTTAGTTCGTCAAATTCTGCCCTGCTAGAGCTGCCCCGGTCAACTAAAAGTGTTGTTATTGTGAAGTGGAAACGTCTAGGAGCAACAATGGCTCAGCCACGAAGTGGAAGGCCACACAAGCTCACAGAATGGGACCACCGAGTGCTGAAGCGCGTAGCGCGTAAAAATCGCCTGTCCTCGGTTGCAAAACTCACTACCGAATTCAAAACTGCCTCTGGAAGCAACGTCAGCACAAGAACTGTTAGTCGGGAGCTTCATGTAATTGGTTTCCATGGCCGAGCAGCCACACACAAGCCTAAGATCACCATGTGCAATGCCAAGCGTCGGCTGGAGTGGTGTAAAGCTCACCGCCACTGGACTCTGAAGCAGTGGAAACGCATTCTCTGGAGTGATGAATCACGCTTCACCAGCTTCCTGCCCGGAATCATAGTACCAACTGCCAAGTTTGGTGGAGGAGGAATATTGGTCTGGGGCTGTTTTTCATGGTTCGGGCTAGGCCCCTTAGTTCCAGTGAAGGGAAATCTTAACACTAAGGCATACAATGACATTCTAGATGATGCTGTGCTTCCAACTTTGTGGCAATAGTTTGGGGAAGGCCCTTTCCTGTTTCAGCATGACAATGCCCCTGTGCACAAAGCAAGGTTTTCTCACGCAATTGCAAAGCCTTTAGAAATGTTGTGCAACATGAGCTCATGGGCTCTCATGAAGTGTTTGATTAGATTTTTGATTACATTTGCATTGATGTCAGAGTGATTAGAGGGACAATAGAGTGCTGAGTACCAGGCAGTTAGCAAGTTTGGTAGGGTACTAATGACCATCAGCAGCATCAGAGCTTGGAGAAACCTAATTACCATGACTAAACGGTCACGTGGAATTTGACTGCCTTCATGACTCGTGACCGCGGGTGTGGCAATAATACGGTCACCGCAACAGCCCTACATACAGAAATGGTTTGTCAAGATCGGTGTGGAAGAACTTGACTGGCCTGCACAGAGCCCTGACCTCAACCCCATCGAACACCTTTGGGATGAATTGGAATGCCAACTGCGAGCCAGGCCTAATCGCCCAACATCAGTGCCCGACCTCACTAATGCTCCTGTGGCTAAATGGAAGCAAGTCCCTGCAGCAATGTTCCAACATCTAGTGGAAAGCCTTCCCAGAAGAGTGGGGGCTGTTATAGCAGCAAAGGGGAGACCAACTCCATAAAAATGCCCATGATTTTGGAATGAGATGTTCGACAAGCAGGTGTCCACACACTTTTGGTCATGTAGTGTATCTGTGTACAGTATATCATTCCTTCTGTCCATTGCATCAAATGAAAATGAAAATGTAAGACAAAATAAGAAATAATAATTATTGCATTGATTTGCAATATTTTAATACCTGAAAAATATGTTGGGTTTATTGCAATGGAACATATTTTATGTATCACTGCTTATTTAAGCCTGGATGAAGTGTCCAGGTGATTTTAAAGAGATATGGCGTAACCAATGGCACTAAACAATCTTTATTTATTTTTTGATTGGTGTCCTGTTGGAGATGTTGTACTTACCTGAGGCACAGTCATGCAGGTGCAACGTTACAGAATGTTCAGATAGAAATGTATTGCATAGAACAGACACGTTTCTCTGTCATGCAAAACAATAACCATGTCAGCTCTATGCATTTAAATTATATCTTCAATATTCTGTATATACATTGCACCCAACTGAATAAGCATCCAGGTGAAAATTGACTTTTTCTGTTCTGTTTTTTTTGGACACTATGAGAGAGGAGGAAACTTGTACATTTTGATATGGTCCACTTAACTGTACATACTGACTAGAGTAGGTGACCCCGCCCTGAACCTAGCAAAGCCCCTCCCTCTGTTAATCTGTATGTATGCACAACACCCCCCCCCCCCCCCCCCCCCCCCCCCATCTCTATGTACTGTATGTACGCACACATAACCCTGCCCATGTCTATTAAATCTGTACATATCACACCAAACCCCGCCCCCCTCTCCATGTTTGTATCTCAATGTTCAGTTCATTCCGAATGGCTGTGCTTTCTGTCTCTGCTAAGATAGGCAAGACAAACAGACACCACTGTTCCTACATTTTAGGATGGGAGACAACAGTGGGAAATTATAATGGAAGTTAAACCAACTTAATCCCCTCTTCAACTGGTTAATGGGCAGGGCATGTATAGGGTGTTGTCTTCTGTAGTCAATCCCAGCAACCCCCTTACCCCCATCTTACACAGTACACCTATTACAAAATGTTATTTTACCTGACATGAGGAGAAATTGAAAGTTTCTATTTTCTTAATTTGGGTAATTGGCTGTGTGACCCTCCTTGATGTATTCCTTTCATGGGATAGCTGGGAGAACCCTATCTTGAAGACCCCGTGTATAGCAGCGACATGTTCATGTAACGTTTTCAACAGTTTTGTAGGGTTACACCTGTGCTTGTGATGTGAGACCCCGTCCCCAACCTCCACCTTGTTACTTTCAGCTCCTGAACACCTCTCACACCTGTATCCCTACCCCCTTGGAACCTTTGCATAAATCCTCCACAATGGTCTCCCAACGTTTGTTTTAGAACAGTGGTCACCAACCTTTGAGTCAAGATCACTTTCGCAGTGGAAAAGCAAGCCGAGATCTAACGCTCAGATTATTTTTTTTTGAACATGACTTAAATTATTTTTACATTAACCTAATAAAAACTGTTCTGTATGAATGAGGATTGTGCAGTACGCCTAATACATTATCTTAGCATATTGGCTATATGCCTGGCCTGTCAAAATTGTTATTCTCAGACCATATTATATTTCAAAACTCGAGCTTTGATAACAAAATAGATCAGTTGGTGTAGCACTTGCAAGGCACAGCTGAGCATAAATTGATATAATTTGCTTTTTTATTTTACTGGACTGATGGCACAGTACCTGCATCTGATGGTCATGGTGCTTTCAAGACAACTGGGAACTCTGAAAAAACGAGGTCAAACCATGACATCAGTGAACTTCAGGTCGGAAAGTGGGAGCTCTACAAAGATGCCACCGTTTCCGAGTTGGATGAGCATTCAAAACGATTTTCCATAGTCGGATCTCGCTTTTTCCGAGTTCCCAGTTGTCTTGAACGCTCGGAAGTCAGAGAATCTCGAGTTCCCAGTTATTTTGAACACAGCATTGGTCTCAGCGGAGGGAGAGAGCAGCAGATGGCCTGCCTCTCGTGGTCTCTGCTCTCTCCTTCCTTTCCTCCAGTGAGACTGACCAGAGAGAGGGGACACATTCTTCCACCTAATGGCGAAACTCGAGTCGCACCACATCTGCATTATTATTATTATTATCTGCCAAAGGGACAAATTCATGTTGTTCCTATGACCAGAGAAAGTGAAATACTCCTCGATATTAAAATACATACGACGAGCTGCTAATAATAATAAAAACGCAGGGCTATCCATACACTCGGCTACTCGTTCATTTGCTGTGGCCAGGGTCGTGGAAGCTGTAGGTAGGCACGGTGATTTGAGCTATCCGATTGGCCAGCACAGAAGGCGCACTCGATTTAGCCACAGATCTCCCGGTCTGTTTGTCTTTTCAGACAAATGAAATAATGCCTACCCGGTGCCCAGGGCTTCTGAATCAAGTGCACGTACCGCCAACAGCTCAACACCGAAAAAATTGCGCAAGTTTATGCCTTTATCGTTGGCTTTTCTACAGAAATGTTTGGTGATTGACTAGGAATACCTTGAAGATCAACCAGTCGATCGCGATCGACCGGTTGGTGACCACTGTTTTAGAAGAAGAGGGAGGTGAAAATAAATATCAACCGTGTAAAATGTGTAAAACCTTTTTTAGTTTTTCTTGACTTTTTCTTTGGACTGTTTTTCTTAGTTTCCTTTGGATGGTCACTACAGCACTTTCTGTAAATTGACCAATAAATAATTGTTTTAGAATCTAGCTGTGTCTCATTCATGCTGCAGTCACAGATCAATTTGTTCAATACAGAAAACAACTATGCCTATAGAATGTGGGAATTAAAATGGTGTGGGAAATACTCAGAAGTCAGGTCACTAGTTAGTCATATAGCTAAGTCTAAGTCTATGGACATTTCAGGCTATGGCATTTCAATGAAATGTGGTCCTCTGTAGCTCATCTGGTAGAGCACGGCGCTTGTAACGCCAAGGTAGTGGGTTCGATCCCCGGGACCACCCATACACAAAAAAAAATGTATGCACGCATGACTGTAAGTCGGTTTGGATAAAAGCGTCTGCTAAATGGCATATTATTATTAATGAAAGGTATTAGGCCAATTTAACAGTTAAACTAAGGGCAATATTCAACACAGCATCTTCATTGCCCGAAGAGGAATCACCTGCAACTTCTTATTTGAAAGTTAAAATGTAATCCAATGTCTCCATCTAGTGTGCATTTCTAGTGGTGTGTTGATTGGTGGTGTTTATTCAACTTTTTCCTCACTTTGAAGAAATAGGCTATAGCGGACAATATTATAGCGCTGGGCTTGGAATTTCCTCGCGTTACCACATGATTCGGTCGCCACGGACGCTGCAATAATTACGTCATAGACGGCCGCAAATTTACGTCATAGTAAAACAGCTGAGATATTCCTGCGAGTTTCACTTTTAGATCACACACACGTCAGACGTGCTGAAGAACGTAAGTGCCTCAGTAGCGGTCTATCTGCAACGCAATGAGAAATGCAAATGAATTAACTAGATTAGGCTAATTGTGTTAAAGTGTCAACATTGGGCAATTAAATATAAATATCTCTATTAGAATTTGCAACCAAAATGTAGTCTAATGAGTGAAATAGAAAGTAGGCTAGCCTAATGAGCGAAATCTAATAATGACTTTCTTTTCTTTAGGATATCTCAGCGCATAAAATACAATTAGGAATCGGTTATCTAATACAATAATGCCTGGTACTGATTCTGAATCCGGCTGTTGGCCGCGCTCGAGGTCTTCGAAGAAGCGCGACAACCACAAAGCCAAACACGCGGGAAAGGAGATAGGGTATGAAGCCTGAAACAGATAAAAACCCAAACAAGTACTGAAGTAGTGCCAAATATGATTTTTATATTTATATGGACAGGAATAACAGTAGTAGTCATCTGAAAATGGCTGCCCCTATTGGGGGGATGGTATTGTAGTGTAACTGTGATGACTACATTAGTATCTTTCTCCAGCTCTGCCCTCTCTGACCCCTAAGCCTGCCTGTTACCCCTTCTAGCGCTAAAGATGCCCAGACCAAAGCTGAGCTAGACCCGGTGAGCCACTCCCTGGCTTTCCACCTGTGCTGCCCAGCCTGTGACACCCTCCTCCTCCAGCCCGTGTCTCTGCCCTGTGGCCACTGCCTCTGCCAGCCCTGCCTGGAAGGCATCCGCAAGAAGCCCTCCAGCACCAAGGCCTCTGATGCCGAGCAGCCCCAGCCCTGCTCCCAGTGCCCCCGCTGCCTGGTCCACTACTCCCTCCAGCCCGGCGGGGCCTGGCCCTTCCCAGAGAACCTTCTCTTGGCTAACGTGGCTGAGCAGCTCCTGGAGAGGCTGGAGGGCCTGAGGCGGGTTAAGCAACCCAAAAACACCCGGGCCAAGGAGACAGCCCTGAGGGTGACCACCTGCGAGATCTGCTCTAAGCAGCGCGAGGCCCAGCGCTACTGCCGCACCTGCGGCCTCAACTACTGTGCCAAGTGCCTGAGAAAACTCCATGGCAACCGGGCTTTCCAGGCCCATGTGCTGACAGAGCCCGTGGAGGGCGGGTGCCGCGATCCGTGCCCCACCCACCATGACCGCTCTCTGTCCCACTGTTGCCTTGACGACGGAGCTCTGGGGTGCCAGGAGTGCATGGAACAGGGGCACCAGGGGCACGACGTATCACCAGTCCACGAGGCCCGCGCCCGCAGGGAGGTGGGCATCCGCAATTCCCTAGAGCAGGCTGCGAAGGGTAAGGTCACGTCTACTACTCAAATGTTATGTATTTATGTTGTTAATTTGAAGTCTTAATGTTGCTGCACAAAGAGCTTTTGTTCAGTTAATTAGCTTTCATAAGTGCAGCCAAAATCTACCAGAGTTAAACTTTCACATCTTAATTACTGCAAGTAAAAAACACATTCTCAAAATCACATCTGTGAACCAATGCCAGTGTTCCCTAAAAAAAATTCCGGCACTGAGCAAATTTCAGGTCTGCTGAGCACAAACTTGAACATTCTGAAAATTCTGTGCAACTTCCGGCGCGAGTTTACTGTGAACACTCAGGCTGTACCTGCTTTAAGTTACAGTTTTAACAGTGGCCAAGTAGGCTACTGTGGCTATTTCATCATAATGTAGGCCTACCAGAGTGGCCTAACATCAAAAACAATGGAGAAAGATGCATCCCATAACATTTTAACATGGAAATAGATGTTCTATCATTCAGCCTACAGTAGCAGAAAATGTGTGGTGTTCAGTGTAGGCCTACATTCCATGAGACTTTAGAAAAAACATGCAGGGCTTGACATTACCCTGTTTATCTACTTGTCCTTCAGACAAGAAGGTGACTGAAAATGTTTTGTTGTTTGATGCAAGAAACCACTTTACAAAATAAAATTATATTTTTTATTATTACAGAGAATCAAACAATTTATGCTACCCTCTGCCTATTGGCTACTTAGCTCATTCAAGACCGTCTCAAAATACAACACTGCCCCTTTAAGACATAAAAAAGCTCTTTATCTGACTCGCTTTTCAAAGATGACAAAAATGCACACATTTTGTGCTCTTGTCGGAAGCAACCACTCCGCCATTGTTGACTAGAATGGAGCTATAACTGGGCTAATAACTCACTAACTAGCAAAGAATATGAACAAATGTGCACAGGTGGCTACACACAGCTTTGATCTCAAAACAAGCGCATCTTCTCATGACCACTCATGCTGTAAACACAGTCCAGTTCAAAGTGAATAGCACAGATCCATATATGGCAATGGCTATTTGCATATAGGCCTACTGCAGCTCCGATTGGTTATGGCACACCGGTCTATGTAGAGTAGGGGCCTGAGTCATGCCTGTCAATGCAATAGAATCCTACTCCAATGCGCTCTGCCTACAAGAAAATATCTTGCATAGTTCGTTTTGTTTCGGTATGTTACATTGAAAGTGGCTAATATTGCGTTGATTCGTGCACAACTTTCCACAGTAGAGCGAAACATGATAGTGTTAACTAAAGGGAAAAACTATCAGCCCATGCTTCTCTGCATGGGCTGATATGGGGCGCTGCGCGCCCACGCACGCGCACAGCTTAGAGGAAACATTGATGGTAGACATTATATTAAACAAATTACTCCATGGTTCAACAGAGTAAACTCAAAGTTAATTAATGAAAAGTTAATACAGGAAGTTAAGTTTGTATAAGATGTTTATTGCTGCACCCGTGGCTGTAGTGAAGTCCCAGTGTGAAGCCGACATGGTGTCCATGGACCAGTTGAGGGCCCGGACGGGCTCCGACGGTGCCGAGCTGAGACGCCGTGTGCGCGAGGGCTTCCTGTCTCTCCGTAATGTCCTGCTAGACCAGGAGGCAGCGCTGCTCTCCCACCTGGACAACCTGAACTCCAGCACCCGCAGCAGAGCCAGGGACTTCCTCCAGACCTCTGCCCCACTCCTGGGCTCCCTGACTGGGCTGGAGGTGATCTCTGAGCAGGCCCTCCTGGAGCCGAACACCGTGGCCTTCCTGACCGGGGCCGTGGCTCTGACCCAGTGGCTGCAGAGGGTCAACGGGGACATCCATCGCCCTGCCCTGACTCTCCAGGAGGGGGAGCCCTTCAAGGGGGTGAAGATGGACTTTGACACCCTCCTTAGAGACCTGCAGGGCCTGCTTGGGACCCACCTCCACTGGAAGAGCCCCGAAGTGGCTGCAGTGGTTGCCGCGGCGACCGACGTGGAGGCAGCCGTTTTGGAGGGGTGCTGTGAGGTGGTGCAGGTGCCATCCTGCCCAGGGACCCCTCACCGCACCCAGGCCCTGGCGGACTCCCCCCGGAGCCCCCGGACCCCCAGGAGCCCCAGGAAGGTAGTGATGGAGGAACAGGTGGGCCTGTCGGCTGGGGACTGCAGCGATAAGGAGCACCACTTGCTGCCCAGGCCCCCCATCATCTACCAGCACATCGTCAGCGGAGCCACTGTGGAGGTACATTTGCACAGTAACTAGGAGATTATTCAGAAATTAAACTTAAAATGTATTGTTTTATATCTATGTAGAAGTTATCCAATATGATGATAACTATTTATCTGTCTGTGTAGATCTTCTGGATGCTGCCCATGGGCGAGGAGGTGGAGACCTTTGATGTCCACTTCCAGGATGCTGTGATCGTGGGGATGGCTATGGAGGAGGGGAAAGGAGTGGTCCTGGTGGGGCTGAAGACCTGCAACCTGCAGACGGCCGGGCTACGCCTAAACACGCACTACCTGTTCCGGGCACGCTCTGTCAACAGCCACGGAGCCGGGGAGTGGAGCTCCTCCTACAGGGTACGATACTACATGACCAATGACATTCACTGACTGACTGTTAACCCAATCCTATTTTGATATACATGAGTATTACTGACAACTAACTTGAGTTGTGTTCATGTTGTCATTGTTCCAAGGTGAACACTGAGCGCCAGGGAGATGAGGCCAAGGCAGCCGTGACACAGGAAATCTAACTCTTACAACAGGAAATGAAGATCCCACACATCAAATCTCATACTCCATATGTCTACTTACAATCTGCCTTTTACACATATCACTTTACATTATCAAACAGAAACATACATTGCATAATAAAAATAAAGCAAGCAACTTTGAAAACTTTAGTTATTCAATTTTTTCACCAAATACAATGCACACATCTTGTTGCTTTGTGGAATTTGTTCTTAACTAATTCACCTGGTTAAATCAAGGTTAAATATAATACAATTGTATTGACCACTTGACAATATAAATTGTAGTCTTAGTCACGTCTCACTGCCCAGAGCAAATAGTGGAAATCTTTCTTTAATCACTAATGCAACAAACACTCATTAGCATCAGGCTAACGAGTCCTAGGTGACCCTCTCGTTATACAACATTAAATAATTACATCTTGTTACCCCCAGTGGCAGCAGCAGCCCTCTGCTATTACATCCTACACAACTCTCAAGGACATGGTAATCCACTCATTCTAATTAACACACTGCTGAAAGTGCACTGTCCGGAAACATTATGTAAGCTATATGCTAATAAGTGGATATTACACTGTGGTGTGTGTAGGGTTAATAGTGTTTGTGAGAGAGAAGTGTGTGACAGTTGATTGGCTAATTACCGGTCCACCCGGTGCGTGGTTGGTTATATGAGGGTTGGTCTGGGTGATAGAGTCTGTAGTGTGAACATGCTGTCAGTGCTGTAATATGAGTAATCTGCTCCACTATGAGAGGCTGTTAACCTGCAATATCACACTACATTTATAAAACAAGTCACTGTGTCCTGTAAAATCACTACTGGCATCGCTCTTTCTCTCACTGTCTCTCACTCTCTCTCGCATACACACACTTAGGCTGCGTTTACACAAGCAGCCCAATTCTGATATTTTTCCACTAATTGGTATTTTGATCAATCAGATCAGCTGTTTTGCCAATAACTGGGCAAAATATTAGATTTGGGCTGCCTGTGTAAACGCAGCCTTATAGTACTGCTTTCTCATCAGCTTTTCTGTTTTCTTTGCTGAGGTTTACACATTGATCACAATGTCATCTAATATTTTCTGTTCTTCAAAATCTACATTCTGCAATCATCTTATCAATCATCATCCTTATCATCATCGTTACCATCACCATTGTTTGTGAAGAAAGAGAGGATTGATTGGCACAGTGTTATTTGAGGATTCATCAGAGATAATACTGTACTCTTACCTGCTTGTGTACTGTAGGAATATGAGAATGTGACTTGAATTCAAATGGTTACTAAGCCTACTCCTCATGCAATGGTTGCAATGGTTGCAATTACCAGAATTGACCAAAAGATGGCTGCATAGATCCTAACAGCATGGGATCAGATGAAGAGACAAATATTCAGTGTCAGCAAAAAAAATAAAACGAGTCTATACTCCCAGGTGAGTTTATTATGACAAGGTTTCGACCTTCATCAGAGTTTTGCTGATGATCATATAATAACAGAGTATAGCATGCAAAGTCAGAGGAAATGGGACTCATGCTGAGCACAAGTGACTTGCATACATTTGTATGGCTGACATCAGTACAAACACAGCAGGAGTGACATTTGTGGACACATTTACATTTTAGTCATTTAGCAGACGCTCTTATCCAGAGCAACTTACAGTTAAGTGAGTGCATACATTTTCATACTGGCCCCCCGTGGGAATCGAACCCACAACCCTGGCGTTGCAAACGCCATGCTCTACCAACTGAGCTACATCCCTGCTGGCCAGTCCCTCCCCTACCCTGGACGATGCTGGCTAATTGTGCAGAGGGAGAATCTTAATTGCATACTCCTCGCATCCTTCTCAAAACCCATTGGATGAGAAAGCCAGAGGTCCCTACCCTCTGACCTTCTCCTCCAATGGGTTTTTAGAAGGAAGCGAGGAGAGAGGACGCGAGGAGTATACATTTGAGATTCTCCCATACAGTAGAAACCAGCCTGTGATCCTTTGGCATAGTGACTAATTGTGAATCCATGTGTGCATGCATTATAAGATTGTGTTTGTTGGTAAGGTCAGGAGGTCATCCAGTCATCCAAAGGCCTTGATGTCATCTGTAGAACATACACACAACACACACAGCTGTAAGGGGTTTAGGCAATGTCACTGGTACCGCCTTAAGTGTGGTCCTCTGTAGCTCAATTGGTAGAGCATGGCGCTTGTAACGCCAGGGTAGTGGGTTTGATCCCCGGGACCACCCATATGTAAAAATGTATGCACACATGACTGAAAGTCGCTTTGGATAAAAGCGTCTGCTAAATGGCATATTATATTATTTAAGACTGTGGCCACTAATTGTGTGTGTTTGCGCGCGTGTGTGCATTACAGTTGCTAATTTGAGATGAACCCTCACAGTAACAGTGTTTGGCTTAACTAATAGGCAGTGGCTGACATTTGAAAAGGTTGAGATGGAGGGTGGGGGGTCTCACTCGTATTGTGAAGAGTCAGTCCCCTTGTGCGGAATGGCCAGAGGATAAAACACTGACACTCAAGCTTTTGTCCAATATATTCCATAGACCAATTAATTAAATTCCTATGCTTACAATATACAGCGCATTCGGAAAGTATTCAGACCCCTTGACTTTTTCCACATTTTGTTACGTTACAAACGTATTCTAAAATTGATTAAATATATTTTTTTCCTTCATCAATCTACACACAATACCCCATAATGACAAAGCAAAAACAGGTTTTTAGAAATGTTTGCAAATGTATAAAAAATAAAAAACAGAAATACCTTATTTACATAGGTATTCAGACCCTTTGCTATGTTTTTTACATTTTACATTTTTAGTCATTTAGCAGACGCTCTTATCCAGAGCGACTTACAGTTAGTGAGTGCATACATTATTTTTTTATTTTTCATACTGGCCCCCCGTGGGAATCAAACCCACAACCCTGGTGGAATCGAACCCACAACCCTGGTGTTGCAAACGCCATGCTCTACCAAATGAGCTACATCCCTGCCGGCCATTCCCTCCCCTACCCTGGACGACGCTGGGCCAATTGTGCGCCGCCCCATGGATCTCCCGGTCGCGGCCGGCTACGACAGAGCCTGGAGCCATGAGACTCGAAATTGAGCTAAGGTGCATCCTGTTTCCATTTATCATCCTTGAGATGTTTCTACAACTTGATTGGAGTCCACCTGTAGTAAATTCAATTGATTAGACATGATTTGGAAAGGAATACACCTGTCTTTATAAGGTCCCACAGTTGACAGTGCATGTCAGAGCAAAAACCAAGCCATGAGGTCGAAGTAATTGTCCGTAGAGTGCCGAGACAGGATTGTGTCGAGGCACAGATTTGGGTGAGGGTACTAAAACATCTCTGCAGCAATGACGGTCCCCAAGAACACAGTGGCCTCCATCATTCTTAAATGGAAGAAGTTTGGAACCACCAAGACTCTTACTAGAGCTGGCCTTTATGATAGTGTGGCCAGACGGAAGCCACTCCTCAGTAAAATATACATGCCAGCCCGCTTGGAGTTTGCTACAAGGAACCTAAAGGAATCTCAGACCATGAGAAACAAGATTCTCTGGTCTGATGAAACCAAGATTGAACTCTTTGGCTTGATTGTCAAGTGTCACGTCTGGAGGAAACCTGGCACCATCCCTACGGTGAAGCATGGTGGTGGCAGCATCATGCTGTGGGGATGTTTTTCAACGGCAGGGACTTGGAGACTAGTCAGGATCGAGGGAAATATGAACAGTGCAATGTACAGAGAGATCCTTGATGAAAACCTGCTCCAGAGTGCTCAGGACCTCAGACTGGGGCGAAGGTTCACCTTCCAACAGGACAATGACCCTAAGCACACAGCTAAGACAACACAGGAGTGGCTTCGGGACAAGTCTCTGAATGTCCTTGAGTGGCCCAGCCAGAGCCCGGACTTGAACCCAATCGAAGATCTCTGGAGAGACCTGAAAATAGCTGTGCAGCGACTCTCCCCATCCAACCTGACAGAGCTTGTGAGGATCTGCAGAGAAGAATGGGAGAAACGCCCCAAACACTGGTGTGCCAAGCTTGTAGCGTCATACCCAAGAAGACTCGAGGCTGTAATCGCTGCCAAAGGTGCTTCAACAAAGTACTGAGTAAAGGGTCTGAATACTTCTATAAATGTGATATTTAAGGTTTTTATTTTCAATACATTTGCAAAATTTTCTAAACCTGTTTTCTCTTTGTCCTTATGGGGTACTGTGTTTAGATTGATGAGGGGGGAAACAAACTATTTAAAGCTAGATAAGGGAGAGTGCCGTACTGAGAAGTGTGTTTCATGTTTCTGTCCTGCTGGTATACAGCATGTGGAGTATTTTGTATTTTGTATTTATTAGGGATCCCCATTAGCTGGTGCCAAGGCAGCAGCTACTCTTCCTGGGTTCCAAACATATTAAAGCATTTACATTACATATAAAACAGTACATCATATGACATTATTACACCACTACCTATCTACAATACAAAATGTTTAATACCACCATACAACAATATCACAATGTGTGCGTATGTATGTGTCTATACTCTTGTGTGTGTCTCTTCACAGTCCCCGTTGTTCCATAAAGTGTTTTTTCAATCTGATTCTCCTGCTTGCATCAGTTACCTGATGTGGAATAGAGTTCTATGTAGTCATGGCTCTATGTAGTACTGTGCGCCTCCCATAGTCTGTTCTGGACTTTGGGACTTTGAAGAGACCTCTGGTGGCATATCTTGTGGGGTATGCATGGGTGTCCAAATACTGTGTGCCAGTATTCCAAACAGACAGCTCGGTACATTCAGCTTGTCGACACCTCTTACAAAAACAAGTAGTGATGAAGTCAATCTCTCTTCCACTCTGAGCCAGGAGAAACTGACATGCATGTCATAAAAAATGTTTTTAAGGGCCAGCCGTGCTGCCTTGTTCTGAGCCAACTGCAATTTTCCCAAGTCCCTCTTTGTGGCACATGACCACACTACTGGGGGCCAGTATGAAAAATGTAT